GGTGGGGGGGGGGGGGTCGCCACTTAATGATGGTGCAGCCGCGGAAGAGATGCAAAGACATCTAGCGAGATTGCAGGCAATGGCAGCCGGCGGACCTTTTGGGTCGGTCCCGACCACCGCAACCAATCTAGAAGATGATGCGATACTGGGTATTCTTGCAGTTTTACTCAGGAATGCAGTGTAACTTAATGCAGATGTTACATTGGTTGATGCAGCGTTACAGATGTCAGCACGCCAATACCACTTTGTGTGCATTTTTTTTTTTTTTTTTTCAGGTGAAGCCGGAGCCGCCGCCGCTGCTGTCGGCTGGAGGGATCTGACGCGTTGCGCTCATGGCTGTGGGCCTTGGATGAATGGTAACCTGGCTTGTGCCTGTAGACGATCAGCAGCAGCAGCATGGCGGCGGAACCTTTACCCTTTTGGAAGTCCCTCGTGGCTGGTGGGGCCGCTGGGTAAGAACATCCGTGACCGACTACAACTCCTCCTGCTGACCGTGACCGGTCACCCATTCTTCTCACTTTCTCCTGTACACTGTGATGGATCCAATGGCTAGTGTGGTAGAGATTGCCATGATGTACCCGACAGACGTGGCCAAGACACGGGCACAACTGAACACTGCTCGCAACACGTCCATGTGGAGCACTCTGGCCCAGATTGCCCGCACTGATGGTCCCACTGGCCTGTACCGTGGTGTGCTCAGCCCCATCGTGGCCGAAGCCCCCAAACGAGCCACCAAGTTTGCAGCCAACGATTTCTTCAAACCCCTGCTCACTCTTGAGGATGGTTCCCTTCCTGGCCACCGTGCTGGTATGTGAGCGTCTATCTAGACCCTGCAGCTAGTCTAGCCACACGCAATCATCTCGCCTCAATATCTCTCCCAATGGCACGGATCAGGCATGGCTGGCGCCTTGGCGGGATCCGTCGAAGCCTTTGTCAATTGCCCCTTTGAGACGGTCAAGGTCCGCATGCAAGCCAAGGAGAGTCGTCAAATGTATCAGGTCAGTCTGCTGCTGCTGCTGCTGTTTGAATCTGACACGCATGGCCCTTGAATGTTTCGAGTCTCAGAGACCGAATTCACGACAAACACCTCACGGTTGCTTTTGACGCGAGCAGTCGACCATGGACTGCTCACGACAGCTTTTGGCCAAGGAGGGCGTGGCTGGCCTGTATCGTGGCATTGAACCCATGGTTTTGCGCAATGCCGGCTGGAACGGCACTTACTTTGCTTGCATTGGTCTGGTTCGCAACCTCATTTCCAAGGGCGAGAATACCAATAGTACGTCCAGGCCTGCCAGGGGAGAAGCCTTGGCTCTCATGCATGGCTCTCATGCATGGCATGCTCTCTCACAATGCACCTCTGACGTCGTGTCTGTTGATCTGGCCAACCTCAACCTCAGGCAAACTCCAGCGTTTTGTATCTGGCGTGATTGGCGGTACCCTGGGAGTGCTAGTGGCAACGCCCTTTGATGTGGTCAAGTCGCGCATGCAGAACCAGCAAATGGCTAGTGCTGGAGCCGTAGCCACGCAGTACCGCTACGCCATCCCCAGTTTAGTATCGATTCTACGCACTGAGGGCCTTGCCGCCATTTACAAGGGCTTGGGACCGCGCATGGTGCGCCTGGGTCCCGGCGGAGGCATTATGATTGTGGCATACGATGCCGTGGCCAGCTGGTTGCGGTAGGTCTTGCCAACGGACCCCTGGCCATGCCCGGTGTTTTAGAAGAGCATCAGTGGTGTCGACACTGCCGTCCATGGTTGAAGACCAAAGAAG